GGGGAGGTTGCCTATGAGCTTGCCTTACCTCCCAGCTTGGCCGGAGTTCATCCGGTATTTCATGTTTCGATGCTCCGGAGGTATCACGGTGATCCGTCGCACGTGTTGGATTTCAGTTCAGTCCAGTTGGACAAGGATCTATCCTATATTGAGGAGCCAGTGGCTATATTGGACAGGCAGATCAGAAAGTTGAGGTCAAAGAACATAGCTTCAGTGAAGGTTCAGCGGCGGGGTCAGCCGGCCGAGGAGGCGACTTGGGAGACCGAGCAGGATATGCGCAGCAGTTACCCTCATCTTTTCACTACTTCAGGTATGTTCTCTATGCTCGTTCGAGGACGAACGAATGTTTAAGTGTAGGAGGATGTGACGACCCGGCCGGTCGTCTTAAGAATTTACGCCCCGATCCCCTATTAACTACTTCCCCTAAGTTCATTTCTGCTATTTTGGTTTGCCGGGACGTTCGGTGTTGGGTTTCGGAGAGTTTTGGGACACTTAGTCCCTAAATGAGTGCATAAGTGTTGAAAAGTAGTTCATAGTCGGAACAGTGTGAAGACGACCTCGGAATGGAAATTCGATGGTTCCGTTAGCTCCGTTAGGTGATTTCGGGGTTGGGAGCGTGTTCGGAATGTATTTTGGAAGTCTGTAGCTCATTTAGGCATGAAATGCCGAAGTTTGAATTTTTGAAGTTTCCGGTCCGATAGTGAGTTTTTGATCCGAGGGTCGGATTGGAATTCCGGAAGTTGCAGTAGCTCCGTCATGACATTTGGGACGTGTGTGCAAAATTTCAGGTCATTCGGACGTGTTTGGTTAGGTTTTTGATCGAAGGCGCATTTTGATAAAATTTGAAGTTCTTAGGCTCAAATTGTTGTTTAATTCGAGTTTCCGGCGTTGTTTTAGGTGGTTTAAGGATTGGTACAAGTTTGAATGAGGTATTAGGTGTTATTGGTGCTTTTGGTTGAGGTCCCGGGGGCTTCGGGATGATTTCGGGTGGTTAACGGGAAAATTTGAGAAGTGTTGCAGCAGCTGAAGTTTCTTCCTTCTGGTATTTTCGCTTCTGCGGCTTGGGAACCGCAGAAGCGGAGTCGCAGAAGCGGCCTTAGCATCGCAGAAGCGGGTTTGGGCATAGTTTTCAGGCTCCGCAGATGCGGAGGAAATCCCGCAGACTCGCATCTGCGAGAAAGGAACCGCAGAGGAGGAACCTTGGATTTTTATCAGAGCCGCAGAAGCGACTTAACTTCCGCAGAAGCGGAACCGCATAAGCGGTTACTGGTCCGCAGAAGCGGAAATCCCTGTTCAGATGTAGAGATTTCGAGGGTTAGTTTTCAAAAGTTAGAAAAATCAAATTGAGCTCGGGGAAGGGAGAATTTGAGAGGGTTTTGAAGAGGAGATTATTGGGTAACGTTTCTCTAATCCCTTTTAGTTATATTTCATCATTATGTAGTTAAATCCATCATTAAAATTCGAATTGAGGATCAAAAATTGAATAAAATTGGGTGAACCTTCATAGGCTAAACTATTGAGTTTTAAGTGGGTGTTTGACCTCCGATTTGGGAGATTTTTGTATGGTTAGACTTGTGAGGGTACGAGGGTTCTGAAAATATAAAAATTATATGCGAGGTGACGAGCGTGTACTTGAGCCAATTGTTGAAAATCCGGTTTTTACTTAAGATATTGAGATTGAGTTTCTTTCATATTTGCTTTATTCTACTTGCAATTATAACCTGTGCTAGATTAGAGAAGCATGTTTAGTTGATTTAACTTGCCTAATTGCTTAAGTTGCCTTGACTGTACTACGTGAAGCATGCTAGGCCAGAACTACCTGTTGCTTGTCTTTGTACTTCATTTCTGTGTATCTTCTGGTTGTGATTGCGCATTTACATTGGGACTACGGATGTGGGATTCCGGTAGCTCCCCCCCCCCCCCCCACTTTATTTGTTTATATTTGGGACTACGGCTTCAATTCCCGGTAGATCCCCCTGCACTTTTACTTTGGGACTGCGGGTTAGATTTCCGATAGATTTCCCTGCACATTTATGGTTGGACTACGGGACGGTATCCCGGGAGCTCCAGTGGACAGTTGAGAAAAGGACTACAGGGCGGTATCCTAGGAGATCCTCATTGTTATCATTGGTATTGAACTGTACATATTCCGTGTTTACTCTGTTCCTGGTGTAGTTGTTATTGCTTTGTTGACCTATCTTATCTCACTGCTGTACTCATTATTACTGTCAGTTTTTCATGCTGTTAATTTGTTATTATATTTTACCTCAGTAGGGCCCTGAACTTCCTCGTCACTACCCAACCGAGGTTAGGCTTGGCACTTACTGAGTACCGCTGTGGTGTACTCATGCCCCTTCTGCGCATGTTTTTCATGTGCAGATCCAAGTACCTCCACTCAGGCGTACTATCCTCGAGGCGGAGAGATCTAGCGGAGACTTCGAGGTATATCTGCGCGTCCGCAGACCAGGAGTCGTTATTCTGTTCCAGCTTTAGTAGTTATTCTATCCTTTTCTTTTAGTTGTTTAGACATTCTGGAGTTAGAGCAGCATATCACGTTTCTATTAGCCTGTGGTTCCCATGAGTTTCCGGGTTTTGGGATAAAATTGTAGACTTCCGCGTTTATTTTTGAGTTGTATATGCCAAGTGGCACTTATATACCGTTTTCTTCTAGTTTTGCTAAATTTAATTAAATGTTTCCGCAAGTTATATTAATTTCCGCACTGTTAGGCTTACCTAGTTGTAGGAACTAGGTGTCATCACGACATGTTCATGGAGGGTGAACCGGGGTCGTGACAGATAAGTAGCTAATGAACTCTGTAGAGAAGTGCTAGCCACCTACAATAAGATCATAGTCATTTAATATATTCCTGTGGTACATTTCCATATAAAGACTTAAAATCCTTGAATTATTTAAAGCATTCAGACTTATGATGTATCAAATAATTTATTTATGTTTTGAGTAATCATTTACGAACGTCATAAAAATACTTAAATTACCTCTTGCCTATATGTTCATTAAACAACACAATCAAATTGGATTAGTTCTAACTTATCACTAGCTTCCTTTCCTTTAGAGCAGATATATCTCTTAGTCATATTTTCTTCTAAATAGGATCCACAAGTTGATAATACCTCTATTTTCAGTGAACTTTATGGCCCATCCTCGACCAATTTTAAATCCTATCTACATAATTATGACTTAGACGCATGTACACAGATAAGTTCACTCAATTTTGAAGAATATTTTCTCTTATAAGGTAGACTAATAGTATTCAGTTTAGAAGAGATATTAACAATAATAAGGTCATGCATCTATGTACTACAAGAGATAAAACATTTATTGAGATAAAAAACACAAGAGTTATTCGAAAGTAATTAGATATCCATCTCTTATTTTACAAAAAGTACATATATTGCATCCTTTAAATTAGTATCTTATCACTATCAGAGAAAATTTTTGAGAAGTGATGCAACTAACTACATGAAGTCACGATGAAGTTGAGATATGAAAAATTAAATAGATCATAATAAGTCAATTAATACTGAATAATATATATATATATATATATATATATATATATATATATATATATATATATATGCAAATCAAATAGCAAATTTCGATAGAAAAAGAATTATTCACGCAAAGTATGTTATATAATGCAAGAATTTTAAAATCCTAAAAGAAACAGAACCAACTCAGAAGGAGAGGATACTATTATTTTTAGTCAATTTATATAACCATTTAATATGAAAAATTTAAATACACACTGCGCGCGCGCGCGCACACACACACACACACACACACACACACACACACACACACACACATATATATATATATATATATATATATATATATATATATATATATATATATATATT